TCCCCTCTTAACAATATAATACACAACAATTACTGCATGTTCCTTCCATACATGTATTACACTGTATTATTTTACATTATAACAGTCTTCAAAACATATTTTAAATGAACTTACGCTCAATCTCCGTTGAAGTAGGCCTGAATCCCATCCCCCACCGAAGATCTCTCATGCGCAGCAACAAAACACTAATATAAACACTAAATTAAGTCATCCACTCTGTGCAGTCACACAACTGAAACCACCACAGGTCCACGAGTTGATAACCAGCCTGGATTATATCCGTTTAACAATTTTTTTACAACTATTTTCTCCTCAATTGTAACTGCTGCTTCTATCGGCGCGCTCTCAGTTCCCCTATGACGCACACTCTCTCGTGCGCATACTCAAACTCTTAAAGGAGACAACACACATAACTGCATAATAGCGAAAACTTAAAGGGGGAAAATCACCAGGGGAATTAAATATTGGGCCCTGTTAATAAATATTCCTGCCCTGTTACACTCTCCCCTGCCTACAGTCAACGTCCTCGATGACTGCAAACACCCTTCAATCATCCATTACTCCTTGTAGTTTACCGGATGTGTACAAGACCATACCCGCTAACACTTGGGAAAGGACATCGGGACTGAAGGACACAGCATTACAAGCAGATTTAGGCAGTCTGTATGGGTTACCATGAACACCAGCAGTTGGTAGGATGGGGTACAGCACTTTTTTCTCTGGGCTTTCGGGGAACAGGAACTGGCCTAGCCAAAACCACATCCAGAGGTGAATCAGTTCTTTCAGTATCAGGCAGAGAGAGTTCTTCAACAGCACTCGCCTCATTATTCACTTGTGCATCATTATATCTTCCTTGTGCTTCTTCCATTCCAGGCCCAGCACAATTGTCTGGTTCCACATCTGGCAGCTGTGACTCCTCAAGCACCAGGCCCACTGGATCCTCCTCAGACCATCTGGTTTCTTCCACAAGCACACATTCTGCATCTAACGAAGGCATCTCTTCTACCAACACGGAGGTAGGTACTTCTTCTACAGGTCTCACTTTTTTCAGTGGCATTGGGACTGGTCTCGGACAGGGCCTAATGTCGGATCTATGTACTCTTTTTGCAGGACCGCCTCCCACTGGCTCCACAGTGTAGGTCGTACCATGCACCTCCACCACCTTATAGGCTGTGGGTGCCCAGGCATCCTGTATCTTGTTCCTTCCTGGTGGACGATATTGTAAGTACACCTGCTGACCAACTGCTACCTCTGGACATTATACCCCACTCTCACGCTTGACAACTCGGTCTGCTACCTTCCTTTCAGCGTACTCACGTGCCCGGGTATGAGCATCCCGAAGCCACACCTTATGGACAGACAACCAGGCAGGCTCCTTCTCTTGCACTGGCTCCTGGCCCAACAAGGCATCTACTGGTAAGTGTGGCTGCATACCAAACAGCATGTAGTAAGGGGAGTAACCAGAGGAGGTGTCACATTATAGGCGTACACCAGCTCAGGTAAGTACTCTGGCCATTTTTGTTTCTTGTCAGGTGACAAGGAACGCAAGAGGTCATGCAGAGTTCTGTTAAATCTCTCGCACTGTGCATTTCCTTGAGGGTGATGTGGCTTAGTGCGGGACTTTCTCACCCCATACAGTTTACAGAGCTCTGCAATAACGGCACTCTCGAAATTTCTCCCCTGGTCTGAATGAAGACGCTGAGGCACACCGTACTTGAGGAACCATTCCTTCAGAAGGACCTTAGCGGTAGTGTCCGCCTTCTGATTGTGGGTGGGGAATGCCTGGCTGAACTTAGTGAATACATCTGTCACAACCAGGACATTCTCCTGTCTATCCGACGCAGGTTCCAGTGTGGTGAAATCCATTGCGACCACTTCCAGTGGATGAGAAGCCAAGAATGGGGTCCAAGGTGCCTGAATCTTGGGCTGCGGCATTTTGGCTGGCACGCACCGCAGGCACTCCTTCACCCACTTATCCACAGCGTCATACATCCCAAACCAATAACAACACTGCTTGAGCAGGGCCAGCGTCCTCTCCATGCCTTGATGCCCCATCTGGTCATGAACACTTCGCAACACCATTTCAACCAGACATGCAGGGAGCAGCAACTGTTGGCATTCCCCATTGAACACATCGTCAATCGTTCTGTACATCAGCCCTACTTTCTCTTGGATCCTGTCCCCCTGCTCAAGCAACAACCTCAACGGTCTGGACAAGTGCTTTCTCTCACGATTTGTGGGTTTCCTCTTCTTGTCCCAGAAACTCTTGAGCACACTGATGGTCGGATCTGCATCCTGAAACTGACGAAGCTCATCCTTTGTGTATCCAGGTAATGTTGGGGTATTCTCCATGGGTTCCCCTCCAGACTCTCTTTCCTCTATGGCTGCATGTAACAGTCCTATTTCTCCCTCTCTAGGACTCGCCACTCGCCCTGCCAGGTCAACTTCGAGTGCAGTCCCTGTACGAAGCCCACTGCAAATAGCCACACAGCCATCGTACTCTGAATCCTCAGTTACCACCTCCATCGCCTCCAGTCCTGGTCTTCTAGAGAGAGCGTCAGCTGCAGTGTTATACCGCCCAGGGTAGTACTGGACTTCGAAATTGAATATCGCAAGCTGTGCAGCCCACCTCTGTTCAATGGCACCCAGCTTAGCCGTGTTGAGGTGGCAGAGGGGATTGTTATCTGTTAGAACAGTAAATTTGGATCCTAGCAGGTAACTCCTGAACTCCACAGCCCATTTGAGTGCCAGGAGCTCCAGCTTCATACTACTTTAGTTCCTGTAATTTCGCTCTGCGCCCCTCAACCTCCGGCTTGCATAGGCTATCACAGTCTTTGTGCTTGCTGCTGGTATAGCACAGCACCCAATCCCAGGTTAATGGCGTCGGTCTCCAGCACAAAAGGTAGGGTGAAGTCTGCGTAGCCTAGTGTCGGAGCACAGGAAAGTTTCTCCTTGAGGTGATCAGAGGCTTGTTGGCACTCCATTGTCCAAGAGTCCTTAAACAACTTGTTGGCCTGAGCAACACTGCCTTTTCATATGCAAAATATACTGCTGCTAACCCTTGTTGGTAACATGGTGGGTAACCTTCAGCTACATTGTCTAATTTTGTGCTATAATAAGCAATTGGTTGTTTTTTCCTTCCGCTGCAAGTTTCCTGCATCAAAACTGCAGATGCATAACCATCTTTTCTGTTTGCAATGTACAAATGAAATGGTCTGTCATATGTGGGCATGGTCAAGGCAGGAGCTCTAGGTGGATCCGCTCCTTTGCTATCAACGAGAGGAACGTCTGTACTTCCGCAACAGACAACGAAACTTTTTGGTTGTTAAAAAAAGGTACGCTCGTTCAAAACAGTTGCGTTCGATCCTTCGCTGTCTGTGCTGATTTAAATCTAGCGGTTCTTTTGTGTTTGTGTCGCAAGTTCAGTGACGCAGGTAGCGACGATTCTCTCCGGCCAATCAGTGATTCACTGCTTCACTGCACTCACTTTGTCTGGGTCTGTAGACACCCCTTGAGCAGATACCACATGCCCTAAGAACTTTAGCTCGGACTGCAGGAAGTGGCATTTTTCCACCTTAACCTTGAATCCGGCCTCCCTCAACCTTTGTAACATAGTCTCAAGCCTCACTAATGGCGCTTTTCCACTGCATGGTACGACTCGGCACGGCTCAGTACGACGTTGGAATGTCGCTGGCGCATTACATAGGCCAAACGGCATCCGCTGGTACTCATACAGGCCAAATGGTGTAATGAAAGCTGTTTTGTGGCGGTCCTTCTCATGAACTGCTACCTGGTGATAGCCACTTGCTAGGTCAATAGACGAGAACATCTTGGCCTTACTCAAAGCATCCAGACTCTCATCTATTCGTGGCAACGGGAATGCATCACGCCTAATTTTACAGTTCAGCTTCCGGTAGTCACGCATAGCCAAAGACTCCCGTCAGTCTTCTGGACTAACACCACCGGAGATGCATACGAACTGGAGCTTTCTTGGATGACACGCTTTTTGAGAAGTCCAGAGATATGGTCCTTCAACTCCTGGAATTGATTTGGTGGTATACGTTGGAATCTAACTTCGCAGGAGCTACTCTCAACACGACGACCCTGGGCAAGTACCCCTAGTTTCACCTTGGGTGGCAACCGCCCACCTTCTGGGGACAAGTTTACTACCTGCACTGAGGTGTACTTTGTAATGAAAGGTTCACTGTCTAATGAAAAGACTATTATTCATTCTATGACATCCAGGGTTAACATAATTCAGCATATTAATTTATATATTGATTACTTTCATTTTCACATAATACTTCAATAAAATTACACAATAATACCCGCCTACCGGGTGATACCAAGGTAGGAACCAGGACCAAGCCACCTGGCAATGATGCCTTACCTGGCTCAAACAACCTTAAGTCTCTGTTTTCAGCTAGTTCTTTGTGTTCTGGCCTGAATTGTAGCCACTGAGGCTGCAGGTGCGTACGACTTACGTGTGCCTGCTACCCGGACCACAGAGTTCGCTCCTACTGGGGCAGCCTCTTGCACTCGGTTAAGGGAGGCTCTCCAGTCAGCATCCAATGTCCCCTCCAAAGCATTGTCAAACTCAGCTTGAATCAATTGTTTACACCGCTGTGCTATGTTCATGCCAAGTATGCCTGGGGGCGCTGAGTCAGTCTCCCCATCATTCTGGTCATGTATCACCAAGAACCCACACCCAGGTAGAGTCTACCCCATTACCTGGATATCAAGTTCTACATACCCAAGGTAGGGAAGAGGCAACCCGTTGGCGGCAGTAATCTTTTAACCACTTGCTTGTACAATGCATGTCTTTGTCTTCCCCATGAAGATGTTTTTTAAAGAAGCTGTCTGTCAAAGTACTCACGTTACTGCCCGTGTCTAACAGGCTGGATGGCTACAACTGGATGGCTACCCCCCCCAGCGTGAATTTCCACTTCTGGGCACTTGCCCACTGCACGCTCCAGAAACCGCACTTTTGTCAATGTGCCAGTCTTTGAATCATCGGTGCCACCTCTCATTGCTCGGCTCTTCGCAATGGAGGCGCACAGTTTCCCGGAACCGGAGACTCAGGCGTAGATGGCACAGGGTTTTCCTGGAAGGGCATTGCCTGGCTATGTGCCCAACGCCCTCACATCTCAAACAAATGGGTTGGCCGTCTCGGGAATATCTTGGCTTAAACTTGGGCTTACTAGGTTTCTCACAAGTTGGGTCAGCCCTCTGAATCGTGAGATCACGGACAGCGTTGGTAAGGTCCCCGATTGCTTTCCCTTGCTGTGTAATTACCTTAATTACCTCTTGTAGGGCTACAGTCAAGTCATTTGGTACAGTGGCGGTCATCCTTGCATGCTCTGCACTTTCCTCCCCACTCACTAGGTTTCAGTTTCGGGCCACATTAGCTGGACGAGGTCTCTCTTCTGAGCACCACAAAAGGGCCTCCTCACGAACTTCGAATAATGTAGCATGAGGTCGCTCTCTGACCACCTTGCGCAGTTCCCTCCGGAGTGCTGAATCCCTCACCCCTTCTATAAACTGGTCTCTCAACACCAGCTTCACATTTGGAACACAATGTGGTGCTTGTTGCAGTGCAACATTTAACATCAATGACAGTGCATGTGAAAAATCACGAAAATCCTCACCGTCCAATTGTTTTCGCGCATAAAATGTGTGCAACAACTGGGAGGTGCTATGCTTTTCCCTGAAAGCTGCCCTCAAATATGAGAACAGGTCTTCTGCTGACTTAACCCCCCACCATACACAACCTGACTTCATCTAGTGCTGAACCCCTTAAGTGGGAGAGGATAAAATCTACCTGATCCTCAGTATTCAACCCCCTCACTCTTATAACCCTGCCCAGTTCCTCAATGAACTCATCAACATTTTGGCAGTCCTTACTCTGTCAAAGTACTCACGTTACTGCCAGTGTCTAACAGGCACTGGATGGCTACCCCCCCAGCGTGAATTTCCACTTCTGGGCACTTGCCCACTGCACGCTCCAGAAACCGCTCTTTTGTCAGTGTGCCAGTCTTTGAGCCATCAGTGCCACCTCTCATTGCTCGGCTCTTCGCAATGGAGGCGCACCGTTTCCCGGAACCGGAGACTCAGACGTAGATGTCACAGGGTTTTCCTGGAAGCGCTGCCCAGTGCATTGCCTGGCTATGTGCCCAACGCCCTCACATCTCAAACAAATGGGTTGGCCATCCCGGGTATACCTTGGCTTAAACTTGGGCTTACTAGGTTTCTCACAAGTTGGGTCAGCCCTCTGAATCGTGAGATCACGGACAGCGTTGGTAAGGTCCCCGATTGCTTTCCCTTGCTGTGTAATTACCTTAATTACCTCTTGTAGGGCTACAGTCAAGTCATTTGGTACAGTGGCGGTCATCCTTGCATGCTCTGCACTTTCCTCCCCACTCACTAGGTTTCGGTTTCGGGCCACATTAGCTGGACGAGGTCTCTCTTCTGAGCACCACAAAAGGGCCTCCTCACGAACTTCGAATAATGTAGCATGAGGTCGCTCTCTGACCACCTTGCGCAGTTCCCTCCGGAGTGCTGAATCCCTCACCCCTTCTATAAACTGGTCTCTCAAAACCAACTGCACATTTGGAACACAATGTGGTGCTTGTTGCAGTGCAGCATTTAACATCAATGACAGTGCATGTGAAAAATCACGAAAATCCTCACCTTCCAATTGTTTTCGTGCATAAAATGTGTGCAACAACTGGGAGGTGCTACGCTTTTCCCTGAAAGCTGCCCTCAAATATGAGAACAGGTCTTCAGCTGACTTATCCTCCCCCCCCATACACAACCTGATTTCATCTAGTGCTGAACCCCTTAAGTGGGAGAGGATAAAATCTACCTGATCCTCAGTATTCAACCCCCTCACTCTTATAACCCTGCCCAGTTCCTCAATGAACTCATCAACATTTTGGCAGTCCTTACCTGGATCCCCACTGAAAGGTACAATTTGTTTCTCCCTTGGGATATACACATAGGATCTAGTATGAACATTAGTCATGTTTGCAAGGGCTGACATTACTTCATCATGTCTACGTCCCAACTCCAAGATCTGGGACTGAAGCTGTGAGACAGGGTTACCTTCCTCAATGTCCATTTCCGGCGCCGCAGCACCTGCACCTTGAATGTCTTCCGCCATTGCGGCTGCACCGTCCATGTCCTCAGCATCCATGGCTTTGCCGTAGTCACAGAAAGTCTCAGTTCTCAAACAGTCAGTTCAACAAGCACTGTCCTCCTCGAAGTCCTCACACACAGCAGTCCTGCTACGCTGGCCCTTTGTCCTGCTGCCACTTCTGTCAGGATGGCACTGCAGGTCCTTCCAGCACTACCGTTGTTTGCACCCTTCTACTTTTGCACTATCGTAACAAATAAAAATCAGCCCCAAACAAAAAGAAATCCCACTTCTGACACCAAAATTAGATGTGGCCGGCTTGACGTCCTTCTAATTTACTAAGGAAAAAGACAATGCCAAGACATCTAATAAAAAAAGGATTCTTTTATTCCTGACTGAGCCTCAAAGGAAACTCAGCATTAATGTTTTGTTCGGGGAAAAGGTTTTTCTCAGGATTCCGATCCAGTTGAACAAGAGAAGTCGTATAAAACAGAGTAACAAAAAACAAACACCCAATTCACTTCAATGGGCGCAGAAAACGAAATAAGGTAGTAGAAGAAATGTAAAGAATAAAAATAAGTTCTTTACAGTAATAACCCCTAATCAAAACACCAGACCACAAGCCCAATTTGACTTGAAATAATGCAACCAATGTTAAAGAACCAATAAAGGTGTGCAAAACAATGGCAGTGGCCTATATGTGCCTGATAAAACAGACAAAAACAAAAAACAACAGCATGAGCATACATGAACAATTTGCACATCTTGCCACATAAATGCACCACCCACATTATACACAGTTCACATTTTAACCTCTTTTAAACATATTAATCAGTAAATAGACTAAAGGTAACAGTATACATTTTATACAGGGTACAATACTTTTCATGCCATATACGTAAACACACTTTGGGAGAAATAAATGAAAAACTCACTCTTATATGAGCCTCTGGATTATCAATCACGTGGTAACTGGCACATGTGCGATCTCACATCCTTGTTCTCCCCTCTTAACATTAATACACAACAATTACTGCATGTTCCTTCCATGCATGTATTACACTGTATTATTTTACATTATAACAGTCTTCAAAACATATTTTAAATTAACTTACGCTCAATCTCCGTTGAAGTAGGCCTGAATGCCCTCCCCCCCCGGAGATCTCTCACGTGCAGCAACAAAACACTAATATAAACACTGAATTAAGTCATCTATTCTGTGCAGTCACACAACTGAAACCACCACAGGTCCACGAGTTGATAACCAGCCTGGATTATATCCGTTTAACAATTTTTAATAACTGTTTTCTCCTCACTTGTAACTGCTGCTTCTATCGGCGCTATCTCTGTTCCCCTCTGACGCACACTCTCTCTCTTGTGCGCATGCTCAAACTCTTAAAGGAGACAGCACGCATAACTGCATCATAGCGAAAACTTAAAGGGGAATCACCAGGGGAATTAAATATTGGACTATTCCTGCCCCGGTTACACTCTCCCCTGCCTACAGTCAACGTCCTCGATGACTGCAAACACCTTTCAATCATCCATTACTCCTTGTAGTTTACCGGATGTGTACAAGACCATACCCGCTAACACTTGGGAAAGGACATCAGGACTGAAGGACACAGCATTACAAGCAGATTTAGGCAGTCTGTTTGGATTACCATGAACACCAGCTGTTGGCCGCTGGGTCCTGCGTGGCGTAGGATGGGGTACAGCACTTTTTTCCCTGGGCTTTCGGGGAACAGGAACTGGCCTAGCCAAAACCACCTCCAAAGGTGAATCAGTTCTTTCAGTATCAGGCAGATAGAGCTCTTCAACAGCACTCGCCTCATTATTCACTTGTGCGTCATTATATATTCCTTGTGCTTCTTCCACTCCAGGCCCAGCACAATTGTCTGGTTCCACATCTGGCTGCGGTGACTCCTCAAGCACCAGGTCCACTGGATCCTCCTCAGACCATCTGGTTTCTTCCACAAGCACACATTCTGCATCTAACGAAGGATTTGACTTGAAATAATGCAACCAATGTTAAAGAACCAATACAGGTGTGCAAAACAACGGCAGTGGCCTATATGTGCCTGATAAAACAGACAAAAACAAAAAACAACAGCATGAGCATACATGAACAATTTGCACATCTTGCCACATAAATGCACCACCCACATTATACACAGTTCACATTTTAACCTCTTTTAAACATATTAATCAGTAAATAGACTAAAGGTAACAGTATACACGTTATACAGGGTACAATACTTTTCATGCCATATACGTAAACACACTTTGGGAGAAATAAATGAAAAACTCACTCTTATATGAGCCTCTGGATTATCAATCACGTGGTAACTGGCACATGTGCGATCTCACATCCTTGTTCTCCCCTCTTAACATTAATACACAACAATTACTGCATGTTCCTTCCATACATGTATTACACTGTATTATTTTACATTATAACAGTCTTCAAAACATATTTTAAATTAACTTACGCTCAATCTCCGTTGAAGTAGGCCTGAATGCCCTCCCCCACCGGAGATCTCTCATGTGCAGCAACAAAACACTAATATAAACACTAAATTAAGTCATCCACTCTGTGCAGTCACACAACTGAAACCACCACAGGTCCACGAGTTAATAACCAGCCTGGATTATATCCGTTTAACAATTTTTTAACAACTATTTTCTCCTCACTTGCAACTGCTGCTTCTATCGGCGCGCTCTCAGTTCCCCTCTGACGCACACTCTCTCGTGCGCATACTCAAACTCTTAAAGGAGAAAGCACGCATAACTGCATCATAGCAAACACTTAAAGGGGGAAAATCACCAGGGGAATTAAATATTGGGCTATTCCTGCCCTGGTTACATACATATATATATATATATATATATATATATAGCCTCTTCTAAAGCTGGCTCACAAGAAAGCCCACAAACAGTTTGCTGAAGACAACCTGTCCAAGATCATGAATTACTGGAACCATGTCCTGTGATCTGATGAGACTAAGATAAACTTGTTTGGCTCAGGTGGTGTTCAGCATGTATGGCGACGCCCTGGTGAAGAGTACCAAGGAAATTGTGTCTTGCCTACAGTCAAGCATGGTGGTGGTAGCATCATGGTCTGGGGCTGCATGAGTGCTGCTGGTACTGGGGAGCTGCG